TTGGCTTACACTCCGTCTCCACGTGCTCTCTACACTCATGAGAAGTGCCCTCTTCCTTCGTTGGCAAAAGGGTTGACGGATTCAGAATTGTGCACCGCTTTATGGTTATGTGCGGTTGTAAGAGTAGCAGTAACATTAAAGACAAGTGTCTTGCAGCTGACAGAAATGTAATTTTAGTCTGCAGTAGTAGACATCTACTTCGTGTAGAACTAACAGTGTCAAAAGGGTAAAATAAAACTATTTTCCAGAACATTGTACAGCTTGAGCTGTTGCACATACTGATCTCACACACGGAGGTAAAGCATAAGCAACTAGAGCTAATCTTTTAGGATAGTAAGTTACTGGCTTCATTTTTGGGAAAAGTGCTGTTAGTTATTTCACAGTCACCGGCATTTGTGCTGTTCACAGAACCACAAGTCCATCGCTGGACCTCCTCTGCGCTGTCACTTTTGGAGCTTGGCACACTCCCTTCATCCCTCAGTTTCTCATGTTCCAACTCCGCGGATGATTTAAGGCAGAGTACGTCGTACACCTTAGTTATCTTCCTCAACGTCAACATCGAATCTCTTTCATTTTATTTAAAGTTTTTCTGTTTCAAAACATTAGTCAGTGGTTAAATGTTAAACTTATTTAACTCCCAGCTCCACCCGGAGCCTGTATCCTAGAAGACAAAGTCTTTAAGTTAAAACAAACTTCACATTTGCAACCAACTGTAGCTCATAAGTGTAATAAAGTATTCAGCATCACAGAGACAAGTATCATTGCAGGTTTATTCTAAACTCATTAAACCCCTACTTTTTCCATAATTTGCTCCAAATCATTGTAATCTCAACGTCATTCCACATTGTAATCAGTGACTTTCCTTAAGTTTGTCACTCACCATAAGTTCAATAGTGGTCAGATAATGAGCCCCATGTAACTATTCTGTAACCACTGCACATCTGTTCAATTATCACTTGTCTGTCTGTGCTGAATCCTTTACAAGCGCTCTTAAAGGAAAAACAAACATTAGAACAACAAAAACAAACAACATTATACTGGTGGTCAGGCGTAGGCCATCCAGATTCCAGAGGTACTGTAAAAGGTCATAAAGTTAACACTCTGCTGTAAAAAGAAGAAACACTGGTTTTAAACACAGTATGTGTCACACTGTATTCACTTCTCCCCTGTAACATTCACAACATTTTCTCAACAACACAGTGTAATTTCATCACCAACAAATAGCCTGTAACCACAGTTTTCTTCACACAAAAACTCAGTAATCCTGTAGTAGAAAAACATTAAGTTGCGTGTCCTGCTGTAAATCACATGATCAAATCACATGATTAATCCTCTACTGTAGAAAAGAAATGTAAATGTTATCGCTGCGCAGGTGTATACACTCTTTCTCACAGTGAGCTCTGTGAGCAACACAAGGTGGTGAATAACACCCTTGATAAATTCAAAAACCCAGAAAAATTACAACTAAAAAGGTTAAATTTGCAGAGTTCACATAGTCATGTGACCCAGGTTTCCTCCTGTGGTCTCCTATTGCTCCTGCAATAAGAGACACACACAGAGATACATCCACACCTTTGTCACATCAGCGTGGGGGTTAAGTTCACATAGTGGTGTTAAGTCAGTCAATTCTTGTCAGCTTTTGTCAGCTTTTATCAGTCAGTCAGTTCCCCATCTTTTTTATTTTCACTCATCATTAATTCATTAATTCTTTCTTTGCTGATAGCGGAATCTATCGTCGCATTTCGTTTCCACCTTCAGCAAAATGACGACCTTTCGAAAAGAAAAAAATTTATACTGGATTTCCTCGTTGAATCCTTATAGAAAAAGGGACTCGCTTCCTAATTGTCCCAAATAAGTGGCTTTCTCCTGAGCCCATTTTAATTTTGGAGAAACTCACTTTGCAACCGTTCGCAACAACATGTAGTAGTTCTTCCTATTCAATGTTCAGATCTGCTTAGATGACAGAGAAATTAAACAAAACTTTCAGTGCACTATGAAAGTAACAAAATAAAAACAATAAAAGAAAGAAAAGAAAAGACAGGAAAAGAAAGGAAAGGCCTTGTTAAATCATGACACGTGTTCTTCATCTCGGGAGGGGGGGAATCATACCAATCCTAATTCATCAACCAGTTTAATCTCAAACATTCATCCAATCAGCCACACACAACATACAGCATAACCCTGTTGTCTCATCACATAATAAGTTTCTTCTCATGTAACCAAATGTGCGCCATGTTAAAACTTCTTCACACACCAGAAACTCAACAATCAGCTCACTCAGCTCACTCATTCAAGACCCCTCATGAGCATTCTGATTTCTCCCTATGTGGTGCAAACATCTGTGCTCCTATAATATTCAGTCCACTACTCTATGTATCATTTTCATCTTACTAGTGACTTGGACAAGATGACAAACAGAATCTCATGCTTAAGATGCTGTCTGGTCTTCATGAGTTTCATTGTATATATACATGCATGTAGGGTTAGTATGGTTAATGCATTTTCTGTTTGTGTGTGTTTTATGTACCTCTCTCATCATGTTTTCATTATTCTCATCACTGTTTAAACAACACACATCTCTGTCTTTCTTTTTTTTTAAACTATCCTTCCTTAAAAACAGAAAGTAGCATTGCAGTTGCTTCAGGCTGAGAAACACCAAACACTCTTCATGTTATCATTCATATTTCATCAACACAACTATTTTATTTCTTTTGTCCACTGGGCAGGTGACCTGCAGAATCATGTCTGCCCCAGCTGGATACCGCTTCACTCACATACTTTCACACCTCTCTGTAACTCACACACACCAGGATGTCAGACACAATCACCTGCTTTTCGCCAAAACAAAAATATGATGCTGATGTTACAAAAGTCTCACACACATGAATCAGGATGCAGAAAAGCTGTTGCCCATATGAGGTGCGAAGAAGAAACTGAACTCACGGATAGCTGCATGCTCGAGATATAATGGCTAAATAAATGTTGGGTCTGTGTTTCCATATGCCCCGCTAGTTTAGAGACTTATTCCTCATGAAGAACACAAGACATAACAGAACATCTTCAACCGGTCTTTAACTCACTAACGAGGGAAGCCTTGGTCAGAACCAGGCGGTGGAGCATAATGCTCATCACCTGCCTCTAGCCCAAATCCTTCACATGGGATGTGCTTGTAATAAAACACTACAGCCTCCCCCCAGAACATCGAGAGGCTGGGGAGGGGGACAAAGGAATGCCTTGATCACAGAGTTTGAAACAATGTAGAGGTGGTAAGCATAAAAATGACAACATTTAACAATTCACTTTAACAGCAGCTGCGTACCAGTTTCATGATAAATTAAAGAACATTTAAGGAAAGACAGGTGGTGCATGAAGGCAGGATTTCATTAAAAGATATATTTGTAACATCAACTCCTGACTCTTGCAAACCAAAGGAGGTAACTTAAGCTGTGAAACAGGACCTATTATACATTATCTTGTTTCCTGTTAAATGTATGTATAAACTGGGAGAAACAAGTTGTTTCAGCTGCTGTTGCCTTCTTATCTGGCCATTCGTCTCCAGGCTCTAACACCAACAAGGCATTTTCACCCAGGGAGCTATTTCCTCTTTTTCAGACCAGTCTCTGTAAACTTTGGGATGATTTTGTGGAAAAGTCACAGTAGGTCAGCAGTTTCTGAAATATTCAGACCAGCTCGTCAGGCACCAACAACCATGCAGAGTCTAGAGTTATTTAAGTCACCTTTCTTCCCCAATCTGATGCTCAGTTTGAACTTCAGCAGGTTGACAGTTATAGCCATTACTTTGGCTGATGAGAAGTGGGCGATTGCATCTCTATGTCTGTACTCCTCAATCTCTGGTCCTCTACTAGAGGCCTGGGAGTTTGAGGCTACTGAGCAGCATCTTAGGTGTTCCTTGAGCTGCACTCTTATGGACTCTTATAACCTTTTTTTTTTTTTTAAGGGAAATTATTTTAATTCACCAACAGTAGTAATGGGTTCACTTCAAGCCTCACTCTGGAACAATGCACAAATTGAGCACTACTTTGTCTGTTGATACAAATAAAGCTTTCGAGTCCATTCCAAGAACAGAGCTGCCAGCTTCAAACTCTTTAGGCAAGGACAGCACAAAGAATTGGTCTGAATAAGTGCATCCAAAAGGTACACTTATGTGACTCTGCACCCGCATGCCAGAGTCTAGGACTAAGTCAGATTACAAAATCCAGTTCTTTCACTTTTTGATCCAACAGGTACCAGGGCAGGTTAGTTATGCAGCATAAGATGAAGTTCTTGCTCCAAATCCTACTTCAAAGTGCAAGTTTCTGGAGTATTGACTGCTGTTGACTCTATGTATTATTCTAGGGCAGGGGTGTCAAACTCAAATACACAGTGGGCCAAAACTGGAACAAAGTCGTGGGCTAACATTAATATTTATTGAAAAAAAAAATCTTCCTCCAGATATAAGAATGAATATTTTCTTATGGACTCAAATACGTTTTGCTGGAAACCTGAATATGGAACAAGCAAAGCTTAATACTAAACAATATATATATTAGCTGTATAATACCAGTAGGCCAGCTCTAATAGTAATTTGGTATGGCTTCGCGGGCCAAATGTAATTAGGCTGCGGGCCAAATTTGGCCCGCGGGCCAGAGTTTGACACCTATGTTCTAGGGTCTAACCTACAATATAAAACACCTTGACACGACTGTTGTTGTGTTTTGGCTCTGTATAAATAAAATTTAATTGAACTGAAATTGAATTGTTGACTGATTGATAAAACATATGAGTTCAGCATATGGTATCACATCTTGTGCCTTGTCTTGACTAATTTGTGCTGGAGTGGCTGGGAGTCAGTTAGTCATACTTTAATCCTGGCTGCTCTACAGTTTTTCCATTTACCATGCAATACATGCCAATGTGTCTGCTTTTACAAATGCATTTACTTATTGACTTTATTTGAATAGATAAATATTTTTGTAATAATATAGAATATGTGTTTGTAGGTACTACGTGTGTGTGGTCATCCTCATATATTCATTTCCACTGCTGCTGATGGGTTGTGCTTACCTGGTGGTGGGACTGACACTCTGGGCCAGTGAGATCCCTGGGGACTCCTCTGACCGCTACAAGGAGCAGCTGACTGCCAAACGCAAGGTAACCTGCCTACTGGATTTCACCACTAATGTAATCAGAATATTTTTGTGCTCTGCAGCCCTGAGCAGGATGTGACTGATGTCTCCTCGTGTAATAAAAAAAATCATCATAGCATCACACACCTGAATCTGAGTTCTCAGTCCTTTCTTCTATCTTAGACTGTTTTTTTTTTCAGACCACTTTTTGCTAATTTAACCAACTGCAGTCTCTTAATCCACTCTTTTCACCATTAGCTCTTCTTCTTGCTCATTAGGTGTAGAAAACCACGACTCCTCCGCGGTAAATTCTTTTGTCACTTTGGTGAGCCACCGTCTTTAACAGCAAATATGAGATCACTTTCATTTCTCCAAAACCTGCTGAGCTAATTGCATTCTCAATAACTACACCCTCAGGAGTTCTTTGTGGTCAGTGCCAACTTCTGCTAAAGTTTAGCATGCTAGCAGTGCATATGCTAGAGTTGGCATTTTTTAAAATAGAGAGTGATTAATGTGTCAAATTATCATCTGTTTATTCTCTCTTAAATGCCAGTGAGCACTGTCTGTCTTGGCAGCGCTGACCGTGTCTCATGATCTATTATATTTTTATTTTGCCCCAGAAAGATTTCAAAGTAGCTCAGAATTTTCTGCACAAACAGATTTGTTGGCTCTGCTGGCCAATGTCTTGTTAAAATGACATTGGTGAATGCTGAGTTCTCAGTGGAAACAATCGATGCAGTGCAGTTTGTAATCTCATCATTAAGAGATAACAAATGAAGCCGGAAACTGACAATACCTGCTGTAACACTGTTGTGAGTACTGGTTTTCTGAGACATGTTTTACTGGCTCACTCTCTTATTTGGGGAACTGCTCTTGCTAATCATGGGGAGCCTCAATGGGGGTGTCTGTGTGGATTTCCTCTGGGTGTTAGACAGCATATTGAGTTCATCTATGACTCTATAAACTCAAAATTCTCAAAAGTTACTACACTGTGTAAAATATCGATAAAATCAGAATGTGGCGATTTGCTAATCGCAAAAACTCAAATTTAATTCACACTAGAACATATAAAATGTATTAAATGTGCAAGCTTTCAATGTCATAGGGCAGGGGTCAGCAACCTTTAACACCCAAAGAGCCATTTGGACCCGGTTTCCACGCAAAAGAAAACACTCGGAGCCGCAAATACTTTACTATACTACATCTAAAATGAAGATAACACTGTATATATTGTTTTTTACCTTTATGCTTTGTGTGAACAACTAAGGTGTGTTGCTTATGAAATCCATGAAGTGCTACAGAGAAAATTACATTTTATTTATGTAATTAACACATTTTGAACTCTTAAAGAAATATAACAAAAGGAAAGACACCCAGCTGAACTAAAATGATCCAAGTAGCAAACAAAAACTGTTGTGAGCCGCCACCCTTATATCGCCTTTGGGCTTTTGGAGCCTTGACCTGACTTTTAAAAAATAATTGGAAAAAAAAGCACTATACTGCTGAAAAATGAAAAATAGATATTTGCAAAATTCTGCCTAAATATGTATTTTAATTGGTTAATGTGTGTGGCGAGGTGTGGTCTGCAACACCGCTGCAGGGGAGGCGGACGCACCTGAGCGGCACCCGCAATCACGCCTCGCTGCCTTAACGTCTGTGCTCTCTCTGCTGTTGTGTTGGTATGTGTCGGGCTGTGAGCTGAAAAGCTACAGCCGGCTGTGTGCGTACAGCAACCGTGTGAAAAGTGGTCAGTAAAGAGATGCTGAAAAGCATGTTCATGGAAACATCGTCGGGTCTGCCGTGATATGTTTGCAATGGGACTTCTGCTCCTGAATCTCTGCGCACAGCGTCTGCAAATCGGGGCTGTACGAAGTCACTTTCATCTTTACGCAGGACTGTAAGCTGTCATCTGTGAGGCGTGAGTGGCGTTTGTTTTTAACATAGTTCACGGTGGAGAACAGCTGCTGACATAATGTGGATCCGAAGCTCCATAATTGGCCTACCTGGGGTTGAAAGTCTCGATAAATGCACGGCGTTTCGGCGGGTAAACCGGCTTTCGCGAGTGTGACACTTATTTTGAGCGATGAAAAAAATAATAGAATATAATTTTATTTTTATATTTCAATATCACAATAATCTTCCAATTTAGAACTACAAGTTAAAAATGAACTAACATAAATAAAATACACTTCAGCTAAATGCTTCTAATTTATTTTCCCAAACCACGCAGAGCCGCACTATAAGGACTAAAGAGCTGCATGCGGCTCGGGAGCCGCAGGTTGCCGACCCCTGTCATAGGGACTTATGTACCCTCATACCATCAGAAATATAGGCTTTTGAATAGAGACCACGTCAGATGGTTCCTCTCACAGGCATTTTTCCAAAAATGAATGTTGAATTTTGATTCTTCTGTCCACAGACAAATTTTCTGCTCTATCTTAAATGAGCTTTGGCCCAAAGAACATCTATCAATTGGGAGGTTAATGGAATGATCTCTGGCTCCTCCATTCCTTTGTGTCATTGAACAAGAAAATGAACCCCAAGTTACTCATGATACATTCATCGTGAGTAACCTGGGGTTCCTTTTTAGATGAATGGATGATTTTTGCTGAAATCTTATTTTAATAATAATGACCTTAAGGCTCCTTAAGGATACCAATTTGTAATTGGTCTGACATTAATCTTTATCTGACTGAGAATCATGTTCACACTGGAGAAATCTACAAAACATAATTGCGTAATCATGTATTCAACAGGTGGTGAAGATGATGATTGTGGTGGTATGTACTTTTGCCATCTGCTGGCTGCCCTACCATGTCTACTTCCTGCTGCACCAGTTCTTCCCCGAAATGTTTGAGGAAACATACATCCAGCAGGTCTACCTTGGTATCATGTGGTTGGCCATGAGCTCTACCATGTACAACCCCATTATCTACTGCTGCTTAAATGACAGGTTAGTTAGCACCTCCAAACCATTATGCATGCAACTACTTCACCAACAGGGCATCTTATTAGTTCCACATATCAAATACTGAGGTTTAGAACTGTCTTTATTTTTCCTGTCGTAGGCTCAGCTGTGAGACATTCCTCAAAGATTCTGGTTAAGACTGACATGACAGCATCCATCTTTTGCTTCAAACTTGTGGACAGCAACCTCATAATGCAATTTTCTTATTCAAGTACATTAAAGTCATTGATTTGGGTTGAGATGTGGCTGACAAGAGTAGCACACAGTGCGTTCTAAACAGCTTTTGTTTTTTCCATTAATGCCTCGTTAGTCTGCTCTAAGCCATTATCTAGCCCAATTGAGATTGAAAACTTAGAGTTTTAAGCATCACAGAAGGATCACAGCTCTAAGGGATGGAGTTAAAACTCCATGTGCAACTTAACCAAAAAGTTTGAGAAAATAAGGGAAAAAACAATAAGCCCCCCATGACAATGTAGGCTTTGGATTTTTGAAAAGCTCAGGCTACATTATTTTTATATCAAAATTACTTAGTATGGGCAATAAACCTCATCAAAAAACATAGCAAATTTTAAACACCAGACACTCCTTTATAATGGTACACACTTAAGCTAATGTGACTGTCAACAATTTTTAAGTTTATAGCAGTTTTTGCTGGTTAACACTGCCTGGTACTCCTGGCTTCTCTCTTGTTATTTTACTTACATTGACATGTTCGAAATAAGCTATCCTATCTTTTCTATCGATCTAAAATATTTGACTTTGCGAATGAATCATCATTCACAAAGACAGTGGAAGATGCTTCTTTAATGAAGCATCTTCCATTGTCCGCCATTGCTGTAACCTGCTAATTGCCTTTGAGCTTTCAGAGAAATGCGATTTCACACTTGAGTATTTTACCTCCCAAGTCCCAAAAATGAAAATGTGTGGGCTGAGGTGAGGTTTATAGGTTTAATCCTCTAAAAAGAGGATTTCACACGACCTCCTCCCACCACAACTCTTCATATTCATGAAGCAGATGTGAGGAAGCAGTTTAAGAATCTGAATGCTCGGAAAGCTCCCGGCCCAGACGGTGTGTCCCCTGTCACCCTCAGACACTGTGCAAACGAGCTGGCCCCAGTGTTTTCTGGCATTTTCAACTCTTCACTGCAGGCATGTCATGTGCCTGCCTGCTTCAAGTCCTCTACCATAATCCCTGTCCCCAAGAAACCTAGGATCACTGGACTAAATGACTACAGACCCGTGGCTCTGACATCTGTGGTCATGAAGTCATTTGAGCGCCTAGTTCTCTCCCATCTCAAGACCCTCACGGCCCCCCTCCTGGATCCCCTACAGTTTGCATATAGAGCCAACAGGTCTGTAGACGACGCCATTAACATGGCCCTACACTTCATCCTTCAGCATCTGGACTCCCCAGGAACCTACGCCAGGATCCTGTTTGTGGACTTCAGCTCTGCCTTCAACACCATCCTTCCAGACCATCTCCGAGGCAAGCTTTACCAGATGAATGTGCCTGATCCCATCTGCCGGTGGATCACTGACTTCCTGACGGACAGGAAGCAGCATGTGAGGCTGGGAAAGAATGTCTCAGACTCCCGGACCATCAGCACCGGCTCCCCTCAGGGCTGTGTTCTTTCTCCTCTGCTCTTCTCCCTGTACACCAACTGCTGCACCTCCACCCACCAGTCTGTCAAGCTAATCAAGTTTGCAGATGACACCACCGTTATTGGACTCATCTCGGACGGGGATGAGTCTGCCTACAGGAGAGAGGTTGAACGTCTGGTGTCCTGGTGCAGCCACAACAACCTGGTGCTGAATGCCCAGAAGACAGTGGAGATTATTGTGGACTTCAGGAAGCACACAGCCCCACTCCCCCCCATCATCCTGACTGACACCCCCATCACCTCTGTGGACTCATTCCGCTTCCTGGGTACCACCATCACCCAGGACCTGAAGTGGGAGCACACCATCACCTCCGTCATCAAGAAAGCCCAGCAGAGGATGTACTTCCTGAGGCAGCTGAAGAAATTCAACCTGCCAACACGGACGATGATGCAGTTCTACACTGCTATCATCGAGTCCATCGTCACCTCCTCCATCACCGTGTGGTACGCTGGAGCCACTATCAGGGACAAACAGAGACTGCAGCGTGTTGTGCGCTCTGCTGAGAAGGTGATTGGCTGCAGACTCCCATCTCTGCAGGACCTGTACACCTCCAGGACATTGCGGCGTGCAGCTCGGATCTCAGCTGACCCTTCTCACCCTGGACACAGTCTGTTTGACCTGCTCCCCTCAGGCAGGAGGCTCCGGTCCATTCGCACCAGAACCTCTCGCCATAAGAACAGTTTCTTCCCCTCTGCTGTTGGACACATGAACAATAACCATATGACTGTCCCCGCCACTATCACATGACCCTACGCTGTGTCACAGCATCATTCCATGTTTGGCACTGATCACCACCTGCACTAATGTATATATCTTTCTACGTAGCACTCTTAATTCTTATTCTCATGTATATATCTCATGTATATCTCATGCACATATCTTTCTACGTAGCACTTTTAATTCTTATTCTTATTTTTATATTTTTATGACACTATGTTTGCACTGAAGCACCGCAGCAATTTCCTAATGTTTTTAAACCTGCTCAACATTTGGCAATAAACCCCTTTCTGATTCTCTGATTCTGATTTAGTCACTGGTGGTTTTTGTCTCCCTGAGCTCATATGCATAACCAATGTGAGTGTTTTTTTATCAGTCTCTTTCTTATCGCTCGCTCTCAGCGACAGACATGTTGCCTTTCCCTTCATTCTTCTCTCTCTGTCTTGGCTTCACATTTGGTTGTGTTTGTCTACTGAAGATGTTTCATGTCAGGCTTTTCTCATCTAAATTGCAAAATACTTCCATCGTGTCTTCTGTCAGTGTTTTGATTTATTTTTAGTCTTTTTTGTAACACCTGCAAATGTGTTAATGAACAGTAACATTTGGACGTTCACTGCGCATGTGTGTTAAACTGTTACAGTTTTACATCTGCTGTTAGCTTCATGCCCGAAGTGCCATTGACAGATGATCTTTTGTTTGTACACACACATGATGTTCTAGTGTCTTTGGCATACAATTGCACCACAGATATAATGTTAATAACTCAGATTTACAGTTTCCTTTACATTTAAAATATCTAGAGCATATGGGTTTCATGGATGGATGTTACTGTTGTACTGTAGTTTACCAGTAAGAAGATGAGGAAAAAATGAACCAGCTGTGTCCTTTAAACCTGCATTAAATGACTTTTTGTTTACTTGGAGGCTGTACAACAAGCTACACAAATTTCATTATAAAGTTGGAATGAGTAATGTGTCACCGTTCTGTTTACACAACCAGAATCCACAGAGAGCTTCATTAGCTTCTATTTAGAGCTGTTTCTCAGTCCATCTGACCAATTTAGGTCTAATATTCACTCTCTAACCAACTCCTGTGTGGAAATATCTCTTTAGCTGCTAAATGCTTCACTGAGTTTTTACTGGGGCTTCACAGAGAGGTAACGTTGAATAGTTACAACACCAGTTTGACTCTGAGTGTCTCAGTTATAACACCACCCTGCTTACTGTGCTGCCACTGCCTGGCACTGTACTCCTGGCTTCATCCACACACAGGGATCAAACAAAACCAGGCCATTTGCAAACAGTTAGCTGAAGATGAAAAAACTCTGCAGAGCTAAACTGGTGATAGTTTTGTATGTTTGTCATCTTCTTTTGTAACTTTCCCAAGTTGTCACTCCTGGTCAGACATTAAAACAAAATAGCAGATAATAGATTTCAGGGTTTTGATTTGTTATTTTTTTCACATTAACATGTTTTAGATTATTAAACAAATTTTAATATTAGGCAGAGATCACCAGAGTAAAGAATGCAGTTTGTAAATGATGATTTTATTTATGAGGGGATGATAGATGTCAATAAGGGAAAGGGGGCTATCCAGGTTTGAACCCAGGGTTCTCTTGGGGTGAAGCAACAGTGTAAACCTCTGAGTCATCGTGCAGCCAAATCACAGGAGAACAGATTTATTTGTGTATTTCCTCCACAGGTTTCGAGCTGGTTTTAAACAAGCATTCCACTGCTGCCCCTGCGTCCCTCAAGGCTCCTATGAAGGCCTCGAACTCAAGTCCACCCGCTATCTTCAGACCCAGACAAGTGTTTACAAGGCCAGCAGGATGGAGACCACCGTGTCTACTATTCTACAGGTTGGGGACGATGTAGAGCAGCCCAAGGTGAAAGTTATAGGAGGCCCAGGGCCTGGCGGGGCTGTGGTTGAGGCCAGACCACACAGCTCCTCCCTGGACCTCACCTCAAATGGTTCATCATCCTGGAGTGTTTCCAAAACAGTATCAGAGATGTCGAGTTTCTACTCCAGTAGCAACCTGGAGGAATAGACTTCAAGTGCAGGCAGCATTTTGCTGGACAGCAGGAAAAGAATGTAAGTTGAGCGATCACGTTGCTGCTTTTGCCTGCATGTGTTTATGAAAAGTACAGCAGGAATATGTGAGTTTGTCTGCTGGTGAATGTGAGTTTTTAATGAACACATTTCCATTTCCATTTTGCTGGAATGCAATGCTGGGAAATATTGTCCCTGTTCACAGAACTGTAGTTTCACTTAGTTATCCAATTCAGAGCTAATGGTCAGCTGGCATTCGTAGGATTTGTCAGGTGCCAGAATGGCTCGAGCTTCAACAACAAGAGCACATGTCAGTTTCAAAAAGCTAAACTGAAGCCGACGCTAGCGCCTCCATTGCTCACAGCTTCTGCATGTCACCCCAGTCATCTCAGGTTCACACATGCTCGATCACGCAGGCTGTGTGACTTCTCACAGTCTATTTTAGAGTGAAGCTGTCACACGATGCCAATACACTGCTGTAAAAACGGCGGCTTCTCCTTTTAACAGAGGGGTTTTCTCCGAAGAGACAAAGTTTTGAAAAAAGTGAAGGCAACCTGTTTTACACAGGAGTTCTCTAACAGACACTGAAACACAGGCAGATGTGGGATTTTAGTTCAAAGGGTCTCCCACAAGGGGAGATAAAAACTGTAAACAACAAAGGAAAATCTACTCTGAACTTGCCAGCTCTGTCTCACTAAGCAGGACTTCATGAGCAGTTCAACATGCAGAGCAAGCGCCTGTCTGATTGAAGAAGTGCTCAAAAGATCCTCTGCAGGTGTTGCTGAAAAGTTCTGGCAATCAGCATAAACACCAGCAGTGTAGGACTCCCCCGTCATCAGGCTACGCATTCACTTCAGCAGCTGGCAGCACCATTTCTGAAAAACAGAGGCGCTTCAGATGCTAAAGAGGCTGCTGTTTCAAGAGAAGGCAAACATTTAGCTAAAAACCCCACATGCCCAATATGAACCCTTAAATGATGTGAGCCCACCATTAAATCTGTTCAACACAATCTGGAAAAGAAATGATCGAGTGTTCTGCAGAACCAGTACATTATTTTAGTCTGTTTAACATGCTCCTCCTCCATCAGATACATAACGATTCATTGGTGAACTGAAAGACAGGCACTGCTTTCAGAGTGTAAAACATTTTTTAAAAAACTTTTTTGTAGCTGGCACCAACATAAAATGATCTTTTCAAGCAATTGTTCACCTTAAAATCAGATTTATTGGGCTTTCAGTTCTGGACATTCCCTGGGGTAATCCAGCAAACCACTTTAGTTTCACTTTGTCTGTTATGGTCTTTTATTTTCTTGTATTTCTATGTTAGCTTTATCGTTTTCTCCCTACACTGTTTTGGGCTGAATCTGGTACATTATATGGGTAGGCTCCATTGTTAAGATGGGCGAAGTGAACTTTAACTTCCTTTGCATGAGGTGTCACTGGACAGTTGTTTCAAATACTGTTTAAGCTGTCAGTCCAAAATGTAATCCAGCTACAACAGGACACAAGTTAGTATCAGGTTTAAAGTTCTTTGCAGACTTTTTGTCCTTGGATGTGCAGCTTGTTACCTGTGGCTCTTTAATGTGCAGTGATGTGCCTTGCTGCTTTTCATAATGTCTGAAACAAAACAAAAACACACACACACTAAACAAAACCCAAAAAGACATAAAAACAAAATTTTCCTTTTCGATAAAGCATATAGTTAGGGCTCGATCAGGTACATTACGTGGGTTTTGCACATTCAATCACCTTCTCCACTCACTATGTGTTTATACATCTCTCTGCATTTAATTATTAGTTATTATTCATCTCTGGCTCTCTTTGTCGTGTCTTCCCCCCTGACCTCTAATAATCGCGACAGACGGCCACTCTTCCAGGAGACAGATTCTGCTAGAGGTTTCTTCCTGTTAAAAGGTTTTTCCTTTTTCCTTCCAAATAATGGGAAGTGGTCAGGGTTTTCTTTTTTTTCTTTTCTTTTCTTTTGTATTATTGTAGGGTCATTACCTTATAATAAAAAGCGCCTTGAGGGAACTGTTGTTGTGATGTGTCACTATATAAATAAAATTGAAATGAAAAGCCCACAGGGACAAACTGTCATTACCTCCTACAGTAGTAAACACTCAAATGTCTACAAACAACTGCTGTAATAACAAATTGTAGTGAGGTGCAAACCTATGGTGACACTGTTCTCACAGTAGAAAAACTGTAAATACTTTTAACAACTGTAATGAAATTTTAAGATGTTTTCTTGCTGCTATATCTGTGAAAGAGTTCACACTGCAGGATATTTGTATACAGATATTCTGCAGTGTGCTTAACAGCTAAATTCACAACAATTTACATATTTGCTGGATGCAGAGCGAACACACAGCCTCAGATACGCACATCCACAGCACTGCAGAGCTATTGCTTATCAGACAAGAACACACAAAGCAAGAAAGACTGAATCCATTTGAAGTATTTCAGTGATTTTTTTAAAAACTGAAAGTAAGTAAACCGTTATTGGCATTTTTTTTTTTACTTGCTTTGCACTGAGAATCAATTCACTGCTATCACATACTGAACACAGTATGCAGCAGCCCTTGGTTAAATATAGTTCCAAGATGGATATTGTTTTCAGTGTGTGCACACAACACGTGCACACATGACAAGAGAGTGATCACCTGCTGACACCCATCAATGATTTTCGTACAGACGCACATACCGCTCATATGCTCCCCCCTGATTGTTGGTCTATTCTCGGCACACAAGGCCTGTTGTTATAAATTCCAGTGTCAGCTGACATGAAAGTGAGAAGCAGTTGTGAAGCAACATAACTACATTAGATTCAATAAATTCTATCGCAATTTCAGTGCATTGTCTTGTTGACAGTGAACCATACAGCATTTAACATGGACACTGTGCACGAATAACAGAAGGTCACATTCAGTGCGGGGAGGGAAAATGAAAGGCAAATACCAGACGTGTCATCACCCGAGTTAACATTCCAATGTTTCACCGTGGCAATGCAGCTAGTAATAAACGCAACATAGCTAGACAGGTGCATCGGTTGAGTGATAAGACCATCAGAATAATAGCTTTGAGATTTCATATACACATACCGGACAGCCATGTTGAGTGACAGTCTAGTAAATCTACTCAAAAGAAAGAAAATTCAAAGAAGGATAGCTTTCCATTAAATTATCGTGCTTGTCCAGCCACTGGTGAGGTACTCACATTCACACCGACACGCCATTTAGAATCACCAGTTACCCTAACAAGGATAAATTTAGACTGTGGTGGTGGTGATGGGGTTCAACACAGGTGCAGGATGTATTATTCTTATTTTATAAAAGTACAATGGCAGGTGCTGTTGTACCATTCAAAGATGGTGCAATAATACAACCGACCGCCAGCACTGACAGCAGATATGTAACCAAGCAACAGAAACCAGGTGTGACCATATTCTGCACTGAATAGGAGGGTTAGGACGGAAGAAACCCAGGCTGCGGCCGCTAGCACTGCTAGGGTTAGCCAAACTAATCTGAGCCTGTGTGTGCTCAAGTCAAGTCAAAGTACATTTCAGTGACATTTGAAACACGATTTCACATTGTTCCTAAAATACAGACAAAATATTTGTTTGGCCAATTATTAACTTCCTAGATTTAAAATGTGCCCAGTTTCCTGTATTTTAGACTAGGCATCATTTCTCTCATTTAAATAACTGTTTATTTAGTTGCTAGGAACATTTCTACTGCTAACTGCTTCATCGTGCTGCCCAAAGATGGATCATCTCTAATACGTGAAAGAATTCATTATAAAACTTATACATTTACATGTCATTGTTACTCACAGCTTGCCATATACAGTGGCTTGCAAAAGTATTCGGCCCCCTCGAACTTTTCCACATTTTGTCACATTACAGCCACAAACATGAATCAATTTTATTGGAATTCCACGTGAAAGACCAATACAAAGTGGGGTACATGTGAGAAGTGGAACGAAAATCATACATGATTCCAAACATTTTTTACAAATAAATAACTGCAAAGTGGGGTGTGCATAATTATTCTGCCCCCTGAGTCTTTGTAGAACCACCTTTTGCTGCAATTACAGCTGCCAGTCTTTTAGGGTATGTCTCTACCAGCTTTGCACATCTAGAGACTGAAATTCTTGCCCATTCTTCATTACAAAACAGCTCAAGCTCAGCCAGATTGGATGGAGAGCGTCTGTGAACAGCAGTTTTCAGATCTTGCCACAGATTCTCGATTGGATTTAGATCTGGACTTTGACTGGGCCATTCGAACACATGGATATGTTTTGTTTTAAACCGTTCCATTGTTGCCCTGGCTTTATGTTTAGGGTCGTTGTCCTGCTGGAAGTTGAAGCTCCGCCCCAGTCTCAAGTCTTTTGCAGACTCCAAGAGGTTTTCTTCCAGGATTGCCCTGTATTTGGCTCCATCCATCTTCCCATCAACTCTGACCAGCTTCCCTGTCCCTGCTGAAGAGAAGCACCCCAGAGCATGATGCTGCCACCACCATATTTGACAGTGGGGATGGTGTTTTCAGAGTGATGTGCAGTGTTACTTTTCCACCACACATGGCATTTTGCATTTTGGCCAAAAAGTTCCATTTTGGTCCCATCTGACCAGAGCACCTTCTTCCACATGTTTGCTGTGTCCCCCACATTGCTTGTGGCAAACTGCAAACAGGACTTGTGGTTTTTTGTTAACAATGGCTTTCTTCTTGCCACTCTTCCATAAAGGCCAACTTTGTGCAGTGCACGACTAATAGTTGTCCTATGGACAGATTCACCATGGGCCTCTTGGCTGCATTTCTGATCAGCGCTCTCCTTGTTCGGCCTGTGAGTTTAGGCGGACGGCCTTGTCTTGGTAGGTTTACAGTTGTGCCATACTCCTTCCATTTCTGAAGGATCGCTTGAACAGTGCTCCGTGGGATGTTCAAGGCTTGGGAAATCTTTTTGTAGCCTAAGCCTGCTTTAAATTTCTCAATAACTTTATCCCTGACCTGTCTGGTGTCTAAATCCAATCGAGAATCTGTGGCAAGATCTGAAAACTGCTGTTCACAAACGCTGTCCATCTAATCTGACTGAGCTGGAGCTGTTTTGCAAAGAAGAATGTGCAAGGATTTCAGTCTCTATATGTGCAAAGCTGGTAGAGACATACCCTAAAAGACTGGCAGCTGTAATTGCAGTAATTGCAGCAAAAGGTGGTTCTACAAAGTATTGACTTAGGGGGCTGAATAATTACGCACACCTCACTTTGTGAAATTTATGGTTTTCAGGGACTTTACCGTTAACTCGGTTTTCCTGAATCTCTCCCGTGTTGTAGTTGTGTGTCTTATTTGAAAGAAATATTTATGCGTTACCATAGCGACCAGAGAGCATTAAGGGGCAGAGAGGAGGATGTTGCTCTCAGTGTTGTTGGTGCATTTCAGGAGGACGCTGCTAATAAAGTTACACAATTACACAGTGAATTCACATTTATTCTTATATCTGGTTGTATCTTTTCATTTTGTTGTATTTATCCGCGACACCTTAAAGGCCGGTCCGTGAAAATATTGTCTAACATTAAACCGGTATGTGGCGCAAAAAAGGTTGGGGACCGCTGCACTACAGCACTGCTAACATGTAGGCAACATCTGATGACATGAGATTCACAGTGAACAGGGAAATCTTTATTCATTCATCTTCTGCACAGAGGTTCATAACGTCATATTTTCACACTCATCAGCACCAACATCTGAGGTGAACATGTGGAAAATGTAAAGCAAATTTTAAAAAACTTGTGAAATAACCACAAATGCCACATGCTATCATAAAAGTTTAATGAAATATGTGTTTTAGTATTCTGGTAGCAGTGGTGTATTGTCAATCCAAAGAGCATAGTTACATTTTGGGAGAAGAACCTCAAACAGACTTAGCCAGGAGTGAATGAGAGCATGATGGCTGATGTTATTTGATGAAAGTAACCTGATTACCTTATAAACAAGACCTACACCCTTGATGTGTGCTGCCCTGGTTGGATGATTTGGAGTGAGTGAAGTGAGCAGAAAATGTTCCTTAGCTAAAATACTGGAAGCAAATGAGCTCATTCAGTAAGTGATCAAGTCTGCAACTCAGATTCTTACTCTGTTTACAAATGAGGACCATCTCAAGGACATATTACCCATAACCAGCCTGTGCTGTGGGTTTTTTGTTCTGCAATGGGGATCATTCAGTGTTATGAGGAGGGTTTAGTTTATTAGATCCTGCTAAAACATATTTTTAAAGCCGTTAGAGTGGAATAGATACTCCATCAATATTAATATGTATATCAGTATTTTTGCTAAATATTGGGCATGATAAGACATCACATGTTGGTTTTATGTAGTGGTAGATGCACATAGCCATACCAAGGGGTACTTAGACTGGTTAGCAAAATCCCAGAGACTGCAGGTTTCACCTCTCAGACATGGAGTCTACTTACATCTTTCATATACAGTCTACAGAGGTGCACCACTTGCACAAAGTGGTTACAGCCTGTGGCTACAGTTAGCCTGTCCCTACTGGAGTCTCACTATTGGGAAAATAAACCAATTAGCAACAGTTGCTCATAACCTTTAATACAAACTGACCCCCTGTGACTCGTCTGTGAGCTGCGGGCAGTTCGTTTCAAGAGTGATTTGTGAGGCTATTTTGTTTTATCCGAAGAGGCAAAACAACACAGAGTAAAAGTCCCGAGCAGAGAATGTGTCCTTTATGTGTAACAGAAGTGTGCTTGTTTATTTATTAGTTTAATTTTCCTGCAACCGCCTTGTGATCTTTTAATCTTTTGTCTCCCTTGCAAGGGGACCGAAACGTGAAGAGGTAATCTCCGCATGCTCCTGCTGAAATTTGATTTTCTAATAGAGACGGCCTTCTCCAGAGGAGTTTCAAAGATAAGTTAGATTCAGTTTGTTGGTGCTAGGCGTTTCAGGCTATAATTGCAAGATCCTCACGAGGACAGTGCTGCAAACATTTGGAAGGATTGTCTGAGGTCCATTTGATTTGGCTGTTTACTGAATTACTATCCAATATTTTTTTTCCCTTTTGTTTTTTAGTGCAGAGAACTGTCTCAGTTGTAGGCAGAGGATCCCATTCAGTTGTGCAAACTTGGTTTAACTAACGATGTAAAAATGAAAACTAAATTAAAATCCCAAGTAAGCCTTCCAAACACAATTATGGGGCAAATCACAAATCTAACAGGATGCAAGAAATCCATAGTATCCATTATAATGTGGCATTAGCTGTCTGAGCCAGAGAGGCATGCAGGAGTGAGCACTGGGAGGCTGCACTTCAAAACCCATCTTATCATCTCATCATCATCATCATCATCATCTTTTATTTATTTATATTTCATGTGACTGCGGTGCCCTAATCATAAGCACAGAGCCAGAAATAATCCACAGTGTGTCCTGAATGCAGAGTACGCTCCCTGATCCGCCTCTCACTTGGACAGGTCAAGTGGAGTGGGTGAACGAGAGGCCGGGGCTTTAATGAATGTGTAATCAACTTTGTTCAGCGAGCGCTCCTTAAACGAGCGCGCCGCAGTGTCTCTCTCAACACACACTCAGAGCTCTCACGCGGCCATTGCTGATGAGAGCTGTAGCGATGGAGACAAAAAGATGCCTGCTTGTTGCTGAGGAGAGGCGCCTGGCAGGCTACACGGTAGGGTGAATGTGCTCATCAGCACCATCTCTACCTGTGTTTCTAACCATCCCTCACTCTCCAATCATGCTAATTACAGCTACTATCCAAACACACACACAGACACACATACTTTACAATGCAAATGCTTGTGGGACTCCTCACTTAATGGGGGGAATAAAATAAAAAGAGTGACATTTGTGTATGCTCAAGTGTGTTTGCTCATGAAGGTGGGAGCAGATTAGTGTACTTATCGGTGATCAAGTGGTTTGGGGGGGTTTACATACAAGAAGCCTTACATTTACATATATATATTAATCACAGTGCACTTCATTATGATGAATCTTATCTATAAGAATGTTTGCACAACCAGGGGAAATTAGATCATAGTGGCAGATGTGCCTGAATAAAAGAAGAAATCATCACATCTGGAAGTAAAACTTCAGTGACCGCCTCTGCAGTGTCAGTGTTGAGACGTTTATTGCTGCTTTGAATTTAAGCGTTTTTCTCATATTGTACAAATGCCAACCTCTCCAGTGGTCTCTTTTGTGAATCTCCTTTTCAATGTGACACTTTGAGTACAAGCTGTAAAGAGAACTCACCTTGAACCATGGCATAGTGATGTCTGTGTGTGTGTTGTGTTGTAAAGTCATTTAACACACCACAAAATGTACAGCGGAGCATTACAGCCGCATATGTTGTTGAACTGTGTCCGTGGAGGAGATGTGACTCTGGGGAAAGATGTGCTCTGTGTGTTACAGAACCAGTGCCTGTTACAATATAAATGGTCACATATCTTTCCCGTGGTAAAAAAAAAAGAGAAGCCAGGCTGTGTCTGAGAACTTATATCACCACTTTTGTGTAGCTACCACATTGGTGAAATTTTGTTGATGAAGCCTGCATGAGCCTTGTGCTGCTAAGTGTTCAGAGAGAGACAGACAACCATGCACATCGGATCCACATCTACACCAAATTCAGAGCCTCATTTTAAAAGTTAAACTGTACATTGTTTTTTACCAGTTTTTCCAGCATTTATTTTTTCTGACAAACAAAAGAGTTTGAGGCTAGCCACGTGTCCCGCACAGCATGGCAAAGAAGGATTAACACATTGTTGATGATGGCCCTTTTCTGATGAGCTGACATGACGAAAAATATAGCATAGCATCATGCTTTAAACTCCTGACTCAGTTTTACTTTGAGGGCAATTACATTCACATCCAATCGAC